CAGCACCACTCTGAAACTCTTGTGCTAATTTTTCTGTGTTACTTTGGGAATTCAAGATAGCAGAAAGAGACAGAATAATGTCAGAATTTAAGTTAAGTTGGAAATAAAAAATAAATACATTACTTTTGACTTATTACCTGTACTGCTCATCATTCAGCAGGGGTCTTTGAGCTGCCAAATACCTCCGTATTGTATCCTCCAATTTTGGAACTGGTAATCTTTAAATGTCAGGTACAATGGTGATTTTAACCATTCTATGCTTTAGGGTCAGATATTTATATATATTATTATTAAAAATTATTATTATTATATTTGTTTTTGACTTTTTTAAATACCATTTTGCATTTACAGATTTACAGGTTTTAACTTTTATCAAATAATTCTTTAAAAAATCCCTTTTCCATTAAAATATGACTTTAATAATAAGTTTCTATTTGTTTTTTATTATAAACAATTATAAATATTACTTAAATTATTAACTCTACAATTTATCCCAAATATAAAAATGGGAACAAATATTTAGGCAAGGGGGGCATATTTATGTGTAACACCGTGTCCCTAAGCCGCGTAGGCTTTGCACTTTCACCTATATTCTCTAATATGACCTAAACCTGTCGTTGACAAACGTGTAAATACAGTATCCTAAGCAAAAATCTGATTCAACTTCAAAATAATATATCAAAGCACAGCGTTACAGATCAATTTTAAAACCGTCGGTCATATCCGTGTGATTCAATGCGATTGTCTTACCTGGGTAAACTCTTCTGGTAGTGCATGCTCGGGACGATACTCTTGTGCAAATACTCAGATCCTGCTCCATCCTTACTGCTGTATTTACGATGAGTGCTCGTTAAAACTGACAGGGCAGGGTTATTGCTCAAGTGTTTTAATTTACTCAGCGTTGAGTTGCATTGCGTAGAAAGCAAACCTGCCATCATGCAGCTGGGATATAATGACGTATGGATTGAGTACTATTCCTGAAACAAAGATGCAATTTCAGACCGTACGTTCAACGCTTCTGCAAGCTGTCAACTTGCTGAATGAATGCAGAGTATCTGACAGATCCTGCCCTTTCAGTACGGCCAACGATAATTAGCCAACCGGTGCCTTCTTACCTTTTTTATTTAGAAAAGAAAAATACATTAAAAACACAAGAACAGCTTTTATAATATAATAATCAAGAACAGCTCAACAAGCAGACAAAAGCCGCAACAAAAAAATAGGAATTTAATACTTGCTCCAGTATTTCCGCATCACAAACGTGACCTTTTTTTTTCAAAATAAAAGTTCTATCTTAAATGAAATGAGCAGATCATCGGTATATATATGTATATATATATATATATATATATATATATATATATATATATATATATATATATATATATATATATATATATATATCAAAACATCTTTTAAACATTTATTTTACCATTTTAACATTGATTATGTGCTCGGCAAAATATTTTCAAATGCGTATAGGCCTATTTCAATTAAATTTAATTCATGTTTATTTATGTAGCGCTTTTTACAATATAGATTGTGTCAAAGCAGCTTAACATAGAAGTTGCATGGTTCATTTAGTCCATACTGTACAATAGTCTTAAGCACAAGTTTTTTTTTTAATTAACAATGACATACGCCTGGATGACAATAGAAAGGCAGCGTTGTTCATCTAAATGGTACTCTCTGGTCCTGCTGCCCTTTACACCCGCAGTTTACACTCAAACATGACATTTTTTCTAGTAGTCCAGATTTAATTTTAATATAATCTTATAATTGTAATCTATTTTACTTTTCTATTTAAACGTATTTCCGCAAGCACTCCAAGCTTTAGTTCACCTTCTAATCACTAAGTTTTTACAGTGATGAATTTCGACACGCACTCGCGCTGTCAAAGAATGAGACGACAAGCTCCCCCTTTTTGTTCTGACTCTCTCATACGATTGGTTCAAGCACAGATGTGCTGAAAGACGATTGGCTGTCGAGTGTCCCTTTGAGACGCTGAAATCACGGACCGCATCAATTGGAATCAGCCATCAGCTCCATCAGGCGCTTTGCCAGCATCATCTGGACCGATTGTGCTGGAAGCGCGACACAATTCTCCACAATTACCTCACAACCCAATGTGAAAACTATAACTATTTCTTCTAAATTAAAAATTCTGTAAGTAATATATGAGAATGCATTCAAAACTTGACGTTTTAAGGACTAACAGAGGTGTTATTCATCGCTGTCTGAGTTGACAGTGGGGGTGAAGCGCTCATCCTCCTCCAACGCTGGGACGAATTACACGTTTCAGCATTTCAGTCTCATCCAGAGGACAGAATAGCCATCGTCGATATTACAAACAACTTGCATCTCGTACGTTCAGACCGTGGATGCTGTCTGCATTGCGGTGTAAGGGTATTTGACATCTTGCAGAGGTAAGATTGCATGACTGCACAGCATAACATAAATTTGGCTATGATAGTAAATATGTTTAGAAGACGAATAACAATGTTTTAGACGAGAACACATTACTGTAATGGAATGATTTATATTTCTGTTTCTAAAAGCTGCTGCAATCAACACAAATATGCGCGGTGGGATTCAGCATTAACCCTGAGATTAATTTCACAAACACCGCGTTCTGACCTCAATTCATCCGTGGTGTTATCAGTACCTTTGAAGATTACTTACTGCATCTGCCACTGCTCAGACCAGATACCCTGACATTATTGATTTGTAGGTTTTTGAATGAATATTTCACCCAAATATGAAAATGTACTGTTAATGTACTCACCCTCAGGCCACCCAAAAAGTCGCTATTACTCTTCAGCAGAACTTTAAGGAAGATTTTTATATTATTTTTAATATTACCAGTGGTCCTTGGGATTCTTATGGGGATTCCATGGGATTTTCATCTTGAGAGTAATAAAAACAAGGCATACATACAGGTCAGACAAATTCAGTATGGCTCCTGATGATATATTGAGATCTTTTGAAACATAATGATTAGTGTGAGCTGAACATTATTACCTTTAATCCACAACATTAGCAAATGGAGTCTAATTACTGTACGATAGTCTTAAGCACAAGATTCTTTATCAATAATGACACACTCCTGAATGACAATGGAAAGGCAGCAAGTGTGTTGTTCATCAAAATGCTACTCTCTGATCCTGCTGCCTCTGTTTACACCCGCACATGTCCTTTTTCAATAAGAAGCTCAAACTTCTGACTGCCATGAATGTGCCGTGAACTATTCCATAAAAAAATATTCAATAGATTTACTCATTTTTAAGGTAAGTGGTTGCAAACAAGGGAGAAGCAGTGGCGCAGTAGGTAGTGCTGTCGCCTCACAGCAAGAAGGTCGCTGGTTTGAGTCTCGGCTGGGTCAGTTGGTGTTTCTGTGTGAAGTTTGCATGTTCTCCCTGCGTTCGCTTGGGTTTCCTCCGGGTGCTCCGATTTCGCCCACAAGTCCAAAGACATGTGCTACGGGTGAATTGGGTAAGCTAAATTGTCCATCGTGTATGAGTGTGAATGAGTGTGTGTGGATGTTTCCCAGTGATGAGTTGCTGCTGGAAGGGCATCCCCTGCTTAAAACATATGCTGGATAAGTTGGCAGTTCATTCTGCTGTGGCGACCCCAGATTAATAAAGGGACTAAGATGAAAACAAAATGAATGAATGAATGAATAGTTGCAAATAATTTATAAGGGCTAAATTTAAACAAATAAACTACGTTAAAGATACTTTTTTACTTACTCCCAGGGCCATTTATATTGAAGTTAATATTTAACCGCACCATATTGGTGTTTCACTCCACACTGAACAACTGACCCAGCTGGGACTCGAATCAGCAACATTTTTGCAGTGAAGTTAGATATTACAAAATTGAAGTTGTTTGTTTAAATTCAGCTCATATAAGTTGTTTACAACTACTTACCTTAAAAAAATATTAAATCCAATAAGTCCTATTTTCAATTTATTTGCTGATGCTGTGGATTATCAGTGATACCACTGTTCAGTTTCTTGCACCGTTTCATTTCATAAGCCTTTAATGTGTCACAGGATGCCATGGGAATTAATTTTGTTTTGCCTGTATATGTTTTTTTTTACTTGATCAGTGGTTAGCACTGTCCCCTCACAGCAAGAAGGTCGCTGGTTCAAGTCCCAGCTGGATCAGTTGGCATTTCTGTGTGAATTTAACATGTTCTCCCCATGTTTGCGTGGGTTTTGTGGGTTTCCATGCTGCAGAAAACATATGCCAGAATAGTTGGTGTTCTTTTCGCTGTGCTGACCCCTGATAAACAAGGGACTAAGCTGAAAGGAAATTAGTGAATGAATGTTTTTTGACTTTTTAAAGTGTTTTAAGTCAAGCAGAAATACTCTAGGCAATAGCCAAAAAATGCCTTATATGTGTTTATCTTTATGTGAAAAAATTATTTGAATATTAGGTAAAAATAATTTTCCATGAAGGGATTTTTGATTAGTAATGTGCATTGCTCAAATTTAATTTGGACAAGTTTAAAAGCCATTTTTTTATATTTAGCTTTTTTTTAAATCCCCATATTTGAGATTTCCCAGTATTTGTATTTTCTATATTGTGGAAAGCTTATTTACTCAGCTTTCGGGTGATGTTTGAATCCCAATTTAAAAAGAAATTGACCCATGTTGTCCAGGCAGGGCCGGAGCAAGCTCAACTGGAGCTCTAGGCAAACAATGATCAAGCTGCCCTCACAGGGTTCATGCCGCCTTGCCTTCACGAAAGTGAAGGGGGGTCTGTCCTCTGTCGTGGATGAAAATAAAAAACGGTTATGTTGTGGATGCCTTCCTGACTACTCTGCTGCCTAGACTAGGTCGCCTCTATGGACACGTGCCTACTGAATGTTGATTCATAGGTGTCACCTGAAAGTTGAATGACCTGAGGAAGAGTTGTGTGTGAATTATCCCTTTAAAATACAACATTTGATTCGTATATATTTTTATTCTTCTCAGTGTCAAACAGTGAAAGCAATGGGATCTCTGAGCAGACAGGCCTTCTTCCAGGAACTGGTATCCGGTTGCTTGCTTCCGACCGTCCAGCAGGGTCTAGAACAAGTATGGCAGCTTTTACTCATCTGCCTCGTCTGCAGGCTGTCATGGAGATTGGGTAAGAGGGTTTATACAACACAGAACATCTATGACTTCCTTTTCTTTGTGCCACTTGTATAATAAAGTGGACAATGGCCAGGTGTTTTCAAGCACCAAAAGGACAAAAAGCACTGTAAAGGCAGCACAAAAGTAGGTCAGCGTACAATGTACCATATCTCAAATCTTTTGAAGCCTTATGTGTGAGGAACAGCTGTGATCACCATTCGCTTTTATTCTGCGATGAAACGTTCTCCTATAAATAACTTCTTTATGCTCAGTAAAAGCAGAACATTTCATAGATGGCAGCGAGTGAGTAATGATAGAGTTGACTCCTTACCATCTCTGTCTCCCATCTCTCTTTCTCTCTCAGGTCTGCCCAATTTCTTGAAACACCTGAGTACAGTGGTGGGCGGTTTTTACACACTTTACCTGTTCTTCGAGCTGCACATGGTCTGGGTGGTTCTGCTCAGCCTTCTCTGCTACCTCATCCTCTTCTTGTGTCGTCACTCAAGCAGTCGTGGACCCTTTCTGTCCATCACAATCCTCATCTACCTCCTCCTGGGGTTGGTAGACAACTGCTGCTCAATTTAAATTAATTTAATGTGGTCAATGTGTATTTTTGAGTACAATGAAATTTTCTTTAAAGATAAAGAAATTAATATTTATTGTTTTATGGGATAATATGATTTATTTATTTTTATTTTCAGATTTAAAAATGTATATTATATCGAGGCAGTGCTCAGCATAATTGAGTACACCCCATTTTGAAATTGAATATTGTTATCCTTTTTTAGTGACTATAGGAAGTGTATTTGGGTGCATTTAAACAAAACAGATTTATTAAACAGATATATTTATTAAAATAATATTTTAGTCACCAAACATCTTTAGAAATTGAAAGATAATACAATTAAATAAAGAAAATGTTCTATTTTTCCTCTTTTTAAAATTTGTATTCAATATTTTTCCATAACATATAAATTTGGTTGTACTTTGGACCATTTTCATAAGTTATTTTGTTAGATAATAATGATTGGTCCTGCAGGGCCAGTGTTGTGGAGAGTTTAGCTCCAACCCTCATCAAACACACCTGAACCAGCTAATCACGCTCTTACTACATATACTAGAAACTTCCGGGCAGGTGTGTTGAAGCACGTTGGAGCTAAACTCAGCTGAACACCGGCCCTCCAGAACCGAGTTTGGACACCCCTGGTCTAATCTAATGTTTATGCACAAATATAATATTGTATAGCCTCCTATTAAAAATACAAATTTAAAAGATTTGTGAGGGGTGTACTTATATATGCTGAGCACTGCATACAGATGAAGTCAGAATTATTAGCCTTCCTGGATTATTAGCTCCCCCCCCCCCCCCCCTCTCCCCCCCCCCCAATTTTTAACAGAGAGAAGGTTTTTCCAACAGATTTCTAAAGATAATAGTTTTAATAACTCATTTCTAAAAACAGACTATTTTATCTTTGCCATGATGACAGTACATAATATTTTACTAGCTATTTTTTAAGACACTTCTATACAGCTTAAAGTGACATTTAAAGGCTTAACTAGGTCAATTAGGTTAACTAGGCCGGTTATGGTAATTAGGCAAGTTATTGTATAACATTGGTTTGTTCTGTAGACTATTGAAAAAAATATAGCTTAAAGGGGCTAATAATATTGCCTTAAAAATTAAAAACTGCTTTTATTGTTGAAATTAATCAAATAAGACTTTCTCCAGAAGAAAAAATATGATCAGACATACTTTGAAAATTTCCTTGCTCTGTTAAACATTATTTGAGAAAGAAAAAAATTCCAAGGGGGGCTAATAATTCTGACTTCAACTGTATATGATCAGTTTGTAAGATATTTATAAATTTTCAGAATCATTACTGAAGTCTTCAGTGTGGCATGATCCTTCAGAAATTCTCATAATGAAAACTGTTGAAATGGCAGATTTGTTCTACTTTGAGCAATATAAATGTGCATATATTTGATGAGTATGTAAAGTAAATTTCTATTTTGATAGTTTTGATCATTTTTAATCATCTTTATTTATTCCTTTTTTTCTTTTTCGTCATACTTCTGACCACAGTCTGGTAAACTGTAGTGTATATGAGCTGTGTGTATGTGTATGAGTGTTTATGAAAGTAAAATCATCTTTAGTTTACAGAATGATATAAAACTATGTTTTACTCAAAAACACAACTATTAATAGTAAATCCAAAGAAGCTGAGAATTCGCAAACATCTCAGCGGCCATCTTGCCAAAGCGACATAAAATTGACATCAAGCACAACGTCAAAAAACTGTCAAAAATAATAATCAATTTAACATCAAAACCTTGATATCTATTTGACATCCACACATTGATGCCCTTTTGACCTCCGAAATAATGACACAAGAAGTATTATATTATAAGAAAATGATTCGAAATTACATTAAGTGACAATTTCTATAGGATTTTGTATCCCTACAATTATATGTAAATTACCTTGATGTAAAAACAACATCAAATTGACATCTAACATTGAAAACACTTTTAAAAAGTCAATTACTGGACTGTCCTGTAATCAGTTATTTTGATGAGTTTTTTGACGCCAATGTTAGACGTCGTTTTGAAATCACAGTATTTAATTAACATCGAATTTATTTTATTTTTTGAGGTGTCCTCTGGGATGTTAAAATTCTGCTCCTTCTGTTTCAGAGAGTTGCACATGATGGATACAACAACCTGGCACAAAATGAGAGGTTCGTCTTTGATGTTTTTTTGTTGCTTGATTTCTGTGATCATTAGACTAAAGAGTTTTTCTTTATTCTTTCATTCTGGATTATGATATAATATCAAATCAAACTTGCACAGGTTCTCAGATGGTAGTAGCCATGAAGGCAGTTTCTCTTGCCTTTGATTTGGACAAAGGCATAGTGGACAAAGTACCCTCTCCAGTGGAGTTCATGGGCTACATTTACTTTGTGGGGACAGTGATCTTTGGGCCCTGGATCAGTTTTAACAGCTACATGGATGCAGTAGAGAGCCGAAAACTTGTGAGTCTCCAAATTTTCCAGCTTTCATTTCAAGACAAATTAGAAGTGGTTTAGGAGCTTTGCACTTGTTTCTGCCAGCACTTTAGAGTATCTGTGGGCTCTTTTCCACAGAGCATCTCCTGGTTTATGAAGTCCTTCATCAGCTCTGTGAAGAGCCAGCTCTGCCTCCTCATTTCCAACTGTGTTGCACCTTATCTTTTTCCCTATTTCATCCCAGTTTTTGGAAACAAGCTACTCCGAAAGTGAGTGTAAATATAGAGTTGTGCCATTTCTAATATCATATAGAGTTGCGTCAGGATTTGGTCAGTTGCCTGTTTGCAGGGCCATGATGGAGATATTCACATGTAAACAACATTATGAATTGCATAGTTATTTACTGAATATGTTATGTCTCCTTATTTACTGTCTAAACCATGGAAAAAAGCTGCCTAATCATATATAGAGGATTTATTAGGACAAGGTGGAATATTCTGATAAACTGAATTTAATAGGCTCTATTCTGTTTGGTTTGTTTTTATTTTTGGTAGTCTTTATTACTCTAAGGCCCAGTTTCACAAACAGGGCCTAAATAAAGCCAGAACTACGACATAGTTAAATTATGCTATTTAAGCCTCATTTATAAAAATGGCCTTAGAAAAATATTTTACTGGTGTGGACCTGAGACAAAAAAATGACACTGACGTATTTTTTGACATCTCACCGCAAGTTATTTTAAGTTGAGTCAGCTCAAACATGTAATTTAATCTTGACTAGCCTTAAACCTTGTTTGTTAAACCGGGGGTAAATGTTTTTTCCAGTCCAACCAATTTGTTTTTTTCCCCATGTACTTTTAATTTAATTTGGAATATCTCCACCCAGATGCGTCCGATGAATTGTCATGCAATTATAAACATGCAGTACAGTTTAAGCTTTGCTTAAAATCAATGATCTGCATTCCCTGATTGAGATATAATATTAAAGTGGGTCTCACATAGGACAAGAAGCACCGTGTCACCGTGCCTTTAAAATATGAATATTTATTTTACCACAGTATTTTCAATGTATTTTCTGCGATCATCTGCTGCTCCTTCCAGTGCTGGGATTTAAATATTTTATCAAAATTTTGCTTAAAAAAGAAAACTTGACTAAATGAAAGCTTAAATCTACTTAACTGACTATTTTAATTTCATTCTACACTGTAAAAAATGCTGCGTTCCACACAATTCCTTCATACAGTCCCAACACAAATCAATTAAGCTAACATAATCGCTTTTACAAATTTAAGTGGATTGAACATAAAACAATTAAGTTTACCCCCCCCAAAATTAAGAATGGTATTATTTAAACTCATTTTAGATAAGTAGTTTGAACAGCAGCCATTTTTTAATGTCTTATTGATGTATGGAGTAGGAACTTTACGAAATTTTATATTCTGCCTTATGAACCTTATGTGTACAACACACTTCCATACATAAAGCCGTTTGTACAGGCTAAAACATGACAATAATTGATTTATTTTTACAGTGGTAATTATCAAAATATGCAAGTTTTATTCAGAAAAGTGGCATTGTTTACATTCTGCTCTCCAACATGGCCGACTGATGTCATTGCTGATGCTATTTGAGTTGTTGTTAATACCTGGTCTATATGTAATATTATTCATTCATTCATTTTTTTTTTCTTTTTGGCTTAGTCCTTTTATTAATCTGGGATCGTTACAGCGGAATGAACCGCCAACTTGTCCAGTATATGTTTTACGCAGCGGATGCTCTTCCAGCTGCAACCTATTCACATTTATACCCTATGGACAATTTAGCTTACCCAGTTCACCTGTACCACATGTCTTTGGACTGTGAGGGAAACCAGAGCACCCAGAGAAAACCCACGCCAACACAGGGAGAACATGCAAACTCCACACAGAACTCCACACTTGCTTTGAGGCGATTGTGCTATCCACTGCGCCACCGTGACTCCCCACCTGATATTATAAAATACATTTTTGTGTCACATATTTTGGATCACATCTGGATGACTCTAAATGTAAACGAGCTCTGTTTTGTGTTGAGACAGTACATATTGAGCCACTATCATAAAAGGTCAAAAAGCATTTATCTGAATTTGTTTCATAGTGCAAATGGTTATGCGGTCAAATGTGTGTAATATCTTAATATCAGATGTAGACATGTCCTTAGTATATATTTTTGTCTGATCTGATCTGTTTCTTGTTTTTTTTTCATTGTATTTCCTCAGCAAGAAGCGAAAGATGAGGTATTGTACTGTTTATTAATTTACACATAACTATTAATCATGAAGTATGAGCCCAATGTAAAATAACTGTGAAAGAACTCCATCTGTGAAAACTGGACTGAAGCAGTTTCAATTTACTGGAACTTCATCTATGTTGAGCTGTTTTGACACCATCTGCGTTGAAAGCGCTGTAGAAATAAAAATAATTGAATTAAATTAAAATAAGCATAAAGCATATCCCCTTACCATAACTACATCTCAGTCATTTAAACAATAATTGATGTTGGTATTAGGTTATGTCATCAGCTTTTATACTTACAAATTATTGACAATTTGGGTTGTGTCTAATAATGCTTTTTTTTTCTTCATATTTCAACGCAGAGGGTCTATTAAAAGGTAAGTAATGCACACCTTTAATGTTTAAAACCCAGTAGTGTCTTTTTTCCTGTGGTTTTGTCTGTGATAACCTTCAGCTTTGTGCTGATTCTCCTCTTCAGGTGGCTGCAGGCGTACGAGAACAGCCTGTCCTTCCACTTCAGTAATTACTTTGTGAGTTTCCTCGGTGAGACGACCACCACGCTGGCAGGTGCAGGATTCACAGAGGAGAAGGACAATCTGAAGTGGTTTGTAGAAATTAAAGACATTTACATTTTACCCAGTCAGGGTCAGTGAAAGGGACAATGAAAATTATACTTCTTTTATATATATATATATATATATATATATATATATATATATATATATATATATATATATATATATATATATATATATATATATACACAGTTGAAGTCAGAATTATTAGCCCCCTCTGATTTTTTTTCTTCTTTTTTAAATATTTTCCAAATAATGTTTAACAGAGCAAGGATTTTTTTTCACAGTATGTCTGATAATATTTTTTTCTTCTGGAGAAAGTCTGATTTGTTTTATTTCGGCTAGAATAAAAGCAGTTTTTAATTTTTTAAACACTATTTTACGGACAAAATTATTAGCCCCTTTAAGCTAATTTTTTTCTCGATAGTCTACAGAACAAACCATCATTATACAATAGTCTTTCAATGTCACTTTAAGCTGTATAGAAGTGTCTTGAAAAATATCTAGTAAAATATTATTTACAGTCATCATGGCAAAGATAAAATGAATCCATTATTAAAAACGAGTTGATAAAACTATTATGTTTAGAAATGTGTTAAAAAATCTGCTCTCCATTAAACACAAATTGGGGGAAAAAAACAAGTGTTCTAATAATTCAAGGGGGCTAATAATTCTGACTTCAACTGTATATATATATATATATATATATATATATATATATATATATATATATATATATATATATATATATATATATATATATATATATATATATATATAATAGCAAATACTGTTTCTTTAACATTGGTATAAATAAAATTCTTAATATTATTAATGTATGATGATAAATATTATATATATTATATTAAACATATTAATATAATATATTTAATTACTTAAGTTCATGCTCATTTCTGCTTTCTCTCTTTATGTGACGCTATTTCTGTTTTTGTAGGGACATGACAATTGCAAAGCCGCTATATGTTGAGTTTCCCAGGTCTATGGTGGAAGTGGTCACGTCATGGAACCTGCCCATGTCCCGCTGGCTCAACACCTGTATGTTTTTTTTTTTTTTTTTGCTTAATTATTTGCTTCTCTTGAAATTTGAATGCTCTCTGAGGTGTTTCCCAGTACCTGGTTGTGGCTTAGGGCATCCGCTGCGTGAAACATATGCTGGAATAGTTGGCGGTTCATTCCGCTGTGGCAACCCCTGCTAATTAAGAGAATAAGCCGAAGGAAAATGAATGAATGAATGAATGAATGCTCCCTGAGATTATAATAAACAAATGTATTTACCTGTTAAAAAAGACTTGAACTAACAGCATGTGCGAATTTTAGATATTATTTTTATGCTATCTTGATCTTTTCCAGATGTGTTTAGGAAGGCTCTCAGGTACGGGAGCTTCACTGCCATTATCATGACATACACAGCAAGCGCTTTGCTTCATGTAAGTGCATTTTGTGTGAATTGATTACTTCTTTTGTGGTACAACACAATGTTTCAATGCCATTTTTCTGTGCACACAGGGCTTGAGCTTCCACATTGGAGCAGTATTATTGACACTAGGCTTCATAACATATATTGAACACGGTGAGTTTCCATGCTAGTTTGGTTGTTAGTATGCATACATGTGTTATTGTTGTTAAAGTCATTTTTTTATCAGTTATTGCGAAATCTATTTCTATTAAATGTTTAATTTGTTAAAATAACATTAAACGTGTCAGCAGGCTTATGCTTGTTTTAATAATATTGATTGTCTTTTAGGTTAGATCTTGGTTGAGTGTTTAATGGATTGAGCATTTTGTGTTTCAGTGCTGAGGAAAAGATTGTCAGCCATTTTGAATGCGTGTGTCCTCTCTAAGAGATGCCCGTCTGACTGCAAACACAGACATAAAAAGGTATTGTACATGTCATTGTGGCTATTTTTATAAAAAAATATAATAAAGTTTAATAATTTTAATGGTCAAATAAACATTTTTATTGAGTTTTAAAGGAAGAGTTAACCCAAAAATGAAAACTTGCTGTTACTAAAATAGAACATCAAGGGGTCAATCATGCTTTTTCATTGTGAGAACGAGAGGCACACCACACTATCTTTTTTTTACTGACATTAACAACAAAACACTGCGCTTTTTATGTTGCTAGGCAACTACTGAATCAGCTTTGTATTGTGTGCGAGCGCTGCTGTTGATGTTATCCGTCATCTCTATTGCCAGACCTGCTGCTTTTTAATAAGATTGTGACAATTTGTGATGTCATGACTTTTTTCAACTGCAACGAAACAAAAACGCAAGGCTGCAGGGCGCATAAGCAGTGTGGAAAACACTCACAGACATAAAAAAAAACATTCAAAAATTAAGTGAAACGAAGCCTCTATGCGGGAAACGAAACATTATTTATGTTCTAATGACTGTGGATGAAGAACTCGATGTATTGTTGGGAGCCACAGGCAGATTTTGTTTTCCTCTTTGCTTTTTTGCTCATCATTAAATCACTAAGGCTAAACACAAACTGCATGATGATCATCTGATTTTGAGCCGATTTCTCCCCTTATGACATTCCCAGGTAATGTCCCAATTTTCTTGATGTTTCGAAAAAGTATCTATTTTTTCTTCTTTAGTCTGTTTAGAAGAGCATCAGAGGTCCTCGTAAATATTCAGCATATTGACAATTTACATTCAGAAATCCTGATGTGTGCATGGGGGATGATCATGAGGACGAACCTGTACACATGCTGAAGATTATCCTGTGACACGAAAAAATATCCAAGCAAGCTGACAGAAGATGAAAGCGTAACAAACACAGTCATGGCGCAGCACAAAGTGGAATAAAATTGGAGAATCAGCTTGTTGGTTTGTGGCAACAGCATAAATGTTTATTCATCCGCCATGTTTATTCTCAAGTCTCGAGAGATTTGGTGAGATTTCCTGTGTTCACATTCGGGATTAAAATCTGTAGGTCCTTTTCTCAATTCCAAGAATGCAGAGAACGGACTTGTGTTCATGTGAAGTCCGGTCTTGCCAGGTTACCTTGAAAGAACGAACTTGGGAGACCTCGAGAACAGAGAATGTGTCCTGTGAGAAGTGAGATGCTACAGATTTTACCATAAATTTCAGCAAATGAACACTCTTAATGTGTTTATGCCTTTAGTAAGATTTTCATGGAAATGTTTACTCTCACCATGTCATTTAGGGAAAGTCCTCCTGAGATAAACAATCTCTGTTTTATCTCTGAACTTTTCTAAGAAATCTATAAAAAATGCCCACCTCCTTCATTCACCCGCAATGGCTTCTGGGACTTCTCGAGCGAGTTCGGTGCTCAAGTCTGCATCTGTGCATCCTTGATATCAAAAACAAATCTGGGAACTTTTACGCGTCCTCGGTTCTTGCGGTCTTGAGTTTTGAAACTGAAATTCGACGGATGATGATGACGATACACAAGAAAACGAGGACGCAAGATCGCTATTGAGAAACAGCCTAGGGGTGCTGTACTGTCTTTGCCACATTGCCGCACACCTCACACTATAGAAGCAAAACTGTGCAACCTAGCCTAGATACCAAGGTTTCAGTTAAAAACCTTCCTAAATGTTTAAACGAAGAAAAACCAACTTGCATAACAGATGTCCTGCGAGTGCATAAATGAACAGCAGATTTTCATTTTTGTGTGAACTCTCCCTTTAAGCTGTAGATCATGTTTTTAATATTGTATAAATCCTCTTTAATTTCTATAGGAGTTGTGGGTGTATTTAATTAATGGGACGTTTAGCATGTTAGCACTGCTACATTTGACATACCTGGGATCAGTTTTTGGCTCCAGCTCAGATGACATGGATTCTGATGAGGTACAAGCCATTTCTTCTCAAACCCTGTACACTGTAAAATATTTACCCCTATATTACTGGCTAATAATTGCATTAACTTTACAGTAAGGTACTGTATGTAAATTCACAGTATTTGAGGTAATTAAAATGTTTTCACAGTAAGTCACTGTAATTTTGACATCAAATTACTGTGATATTACAGCCATATAAAGTGACTTCACATTAAAGCACATTACTGCAATTTCACACTGTTCTCTGGTAAAATTTACTATATTTTTCCTGTGAACTTAAAATAGGATTACTGTGTTTTAGCAGTAGTTTGCAGTTGAAATACTTGATTTAACTGTGTAGTATCCGGTTTCTGATCAGGATTTTCGTCCACAGGATGGCGTTGCCAGCCACACCATTCAGAAGTGGACTCAGCTCAGCTGGACCAGCCACTGGCTGACCTTCGCCCTTTGGGTCTTCTATCGCCTTATCCTATAAACACAGAGATCTGCACAGACGAGGAGAATGGGAGAGGTTAGCAATGAATGAATATTTTATATATGCTTACAGTAGAGCAGTCGTGAGTGTTTACTGTGTCACTGTGAACTCTGGATGATCCTGGACTGGAATTTTTGCATTAACCAGAACTTTACGAATATCAGGATGTTTTGATGTTTTCTAAACTACCTAAAACCAAGAAGCATCAACAACTTTTTACAGCAATCCTCGATAAATGTGAAATTTGACTTATTCATAGCCATAGTTGATGAATCAAGATTTTGATATGACTGGATTATGAATCTAGTTGATGTTGGTGTAGAATTTTTACTTCTAAATGTGAAAAGAACTATTGTTTCCCAACCGTGTTCCTGGAAGCACACCAACAGTACATATTTTGGATGTGTCCCTTATGTGACCCATTGATTTCAGGTTATGGAGTCTCTTCTACTGTTCTGCTGAGTTGATTCAGGTATGTTTAATTAGGAAGAGGTAGAAATGTGTACAGTTGTTGTGCCTTCAGGAACAGGGTTGGGAGATGCTGGTTTAAGAAGTTGTTTCTGGTTTGCTTTATGGCTTTTTTTAGCTTGAATTTGCTGTTGAGTTTAAAAGCTTGAGTTTGTTTTTCAATTCCAATTTATGCGGATGCTTTTTCATTAAAGCACATATCATGCTGCCATTCACAATATGTTCATTATGGTATTTTTGTGCAACAAACATGCAAAATCTTTTTTTTAATTGTCATTACTGTTCCTCTTAGAGCTCTGAATGCACATAGGATAAGCTTCACATACTTTTTTTTTGTATGAATCATCAATCAAGCAGTGACAGTATGTTTCTGTGTGAGTTTGAGACGCTCAGTATTGAGACAGTATTGTTAGTGTTTGATAGTTTCTTATATTTAAGCATTTATAAAATGTATATTACTCCTGGCTACAAGAAAACTTTCAAGATAGTGTGATTTGTTTGTGTGTGTGTATTTATTTTAATCTTTGCTTTTTTATCATCATTAATGCTTGTTTGTAAATAGACTAGTAACATTACTGTATTTAAGGTCACAATGTTTTTAAGTGCCAAACAGAACACTAATAATTAAAATCTGATTAATGTCAGATATGTTCTGATAGTACTTCTGTTTACTGTGTTTAGACATTCAATACATTTTTACACTGTTGTTAACTATGTCCTTAAATTTATGAGTGAATATTAAATAAAGGGTTCAGATATCAAGGGTGATTTTGACATTCTGTATGACTGATTGTGACATCAAACTTTTGTCAATAAAACATTTATATTTGTATTTATTTTGTCAATTTATTCAAATCCCAGATGACCTGTCTAACTTTTGTGTATGCTTCAAATTGTTTACAAGAGTTTACATACATAAAGCATATTTAAGTGTCTGTGTTAATGTTTTAAATAATGTCTGTCTAAGATGTTAAAGTAAAGGAGAAATAATAATCCATCATCAATCAGTGTAACATATATACATTTACAAAGAAAAAATTTACACAACACAAGAATGTGTAATGATATTACATTTTATTTGATCTTGAATAATAGAAAATGTCGTTTAAAAGGGTGGCCCAGAGTGTATTTTTAAGGCTTGGTTGTGTTTAGAAGATGCAAAGAAATGTGTGCTTATGTTTAACTTGTTCAAAATCATGTTATTTTTTCATAAATCTTACTTAAATTATTTACAGCTACTCAGCTAACATAAAAACGCCAGTCATATTTTCTAGTTCCGCTGAAAGGCCCGCTCTCAAGAGGTTCTGATTGGTCAGCAAACATAATGTGCTGTGATTCGCAGATTGGCACCAATACTGTCAGTCAGTGTAGCTATGTCAGTGTGAAACTGAATTAGATAGAAAATTAAGAGGACACAGCTGAACCTCATGCCTGCTCTCTAAAATCTGACAAGTTTCTTTTATATATATATATATATATATATATATATATATATATATATATATATATATATATATATATATATATATATATATATATATATATATATATATATATAGCTGCTCCTTTAAAGAGTTTTTAGCCGAATCCAGCCCTTAACTGGGAGAGATTCTGAAAGTTTTCCTTTGTCAAATGCTATATATATATATAATTCTCTAAAAGATAATTAAAATTAAACTGTAAGCACTTCTGTCTTTGTGCCATGTCCCCTGGAAGCCCACATACAGAAACAGAACAAGCTCTGTGGAAATAGCAGTGTTTAGAGGCATTTTAGCTTTCTCTCTGCTACATTACAGTGACTCTGGCCGTGCCCTGTTTCCAGACATCCCAAGTCTTCCGGATGTTCCGGGAGTCTCTCGCAAATGCATAGAGACTCCTGGACACCCGCAAATGAATCCCTCCCAACTCTTCAGGTACGTCGGCCACAACTCAACCCCACAGCTTTTCAGCCACAACTCACCACCACTGCTCTTCAGATACGTCGCGCACACACGCCCCCATCACTCTTCAGATACGTTGCACGCACAGGTACCCCCCCCCCCCCCCAACCCCCCTTCCCTTGCTCTTCAGGCACCCACTCTCCTCCCGCAAATCATCTCTGTGTCCACTGGAAATTACTTTTCCCAACTTGGGATGTCTGCGTTGCTGTGCAGGGTGTGTGCGCGTAACCTGAAGCATTTGTGTTCTCATTAACCCGAATATATATTTTTGTAGTCCCCAAATTTCATGCACTGTAGGCTTTGCTAACCTATCTCTGTAAAAGCCAATTTCTTCCTTTGCATTGAACTTTGATCATATTACATTCAGAGATGTTGTTTATGTTCACACAGACAGACTCTTCAACTAAAGTTTAAACTGTGATATTGTAGTGAACCACGTACCCCATTAAAACGTAATGTTTTGAAAGATAGTGGCAAAATGATTTACAATGGTAAATATTTTGTATTTTGGAGCTGTACTGTGATCCTTAAATATAGTCTTTTAATATGTCAACAAATAATTCTGGCTCAGAATATCCCTAATGACACCTTTGATATATACATCCCTGCATGGGCTCTTTATTTTTTAAAGAGATAGTTCACCCTGTTAAACACAAATGATTTTTTTTAGAATATCATGTTTGTTTTCAAAAGAAGAAGAAATTAAGTTTACAACCTCTTGAGTGAGAGTAAATGTTGAGAAAATGTAGATTTTGGTGAACTATCTCTTTAACGGCAGGGGGCGGCAGCGCGCAATCTTTTGCTCAGCGCAACCTTGCGACAGAAACTGTGAAGCAAACCGCGCTATAAATGGGACAGCAACATGGCGATGTCCTCGGGCATGGCAGTCTTTTGCCGTCTGACTGGCAGATCCTTAGGGGCAGTACTCGGTCACGGCCGTGGAAAAAGCCTCACAGCTCGAAGATGGTACATCACTGCCAGCTCAGGCAACAGTGAGTAAACGCACGTTTTGCACGTACCTCAGTGTTGAACTCCAGTCAAACCTGGAGGTCAGAAGAATTCATATCATGTTTATGAATATTAATACACTTCAAATATTTCCTCGTATCAATTATTAGTGTCCGATATTGTACTCAGCTTACTAACTTAAAATACATTACGCATAGATATGAGTTTTGTTGTGGAACGTATGAAGAGTCACGTGTCTGAGATGCGATGCCAGTCAGCTGGCACAAGCTGGTGATGGTAATACAATGCAAAACAGTGTCAGTGACTCAGTATAAATGTCTGTTTAATTTAATAATTTTAATATTTGTGAGCTGCTCGATGAACGGGAACATTATGTTCCTTCGTTTACCGAGAGTCCTCCTCTTAAAAAAATAATTTTCAAAGTTACTACAATACAAGCAAAGTCTCATGCTCTCATTACTACTACAGTGTCAGGGATTAATACATGTTTATATAATTAAACTTCATAGTCTTTTTTTTGTCATTTTATTTGCTGTTTAACTTTAAATACTGATCAGTCACCATTAAATGTATCGCTTTTATTAGTAACCCTTACAAAATACTAGAAAAAGTACTGAGTACACAACAAAAACCTCTTAATCCAGACTAAATTGGGTGGCTATTTTTGTTGATTTTAACATATAGGTCTTAAGTCCAGTCTGAAGGAATGTTAAAAATATCGAAGTTTAATTTGTAATAAAAAGTTTTTTTAATGTTGAAGTTATAAATGTCGCTAATACATTCCATTGTGTGCTCTTTATAAATTCACAAAGCAGAAATTCCTAAACACAAATAATAATTTTGCATGACTAATTTAGCAGAATTTTGTTTTCATATCATTTAAACAAAATGTAGTCAAATCAGAAAAAGTTAGCAAAAGTATTTATATCAATTGAATATCAATTGGCAGATATAGGACAAAATGAAACTTGTGCTCAGATAACAAAATCCTAATTTGGAGGCTCAAACAAAGCAAATTTGGTATGCTTTTATGTAGCAGACTACACGTGTCATAAAATGCATATAAATATATGTAGATAACAGTATAGATGTCTCTCTTTACCTCCCAATAATAGGTCTTATTAAGATGATGTTGCATTTCAATGATCCAAACTTCTGAAGGTTTTCATGTGCAGAACAAATCACTGTAATGCCCACCCACTTTGAATGTTATCACTCGATTAAATGGTCGTCATCAGTGGTTATCAGCTGATAGATATGGGCCAGTAGGGGCCTTCTCAAAAGGCTCTTATAATCCATCCACATGGTTAATCAACTATACTAAAAGAGAAGATTTCAGCTTCAGATCTGCCTTTACATTACTGTGAGGGCTGGGTTTAGTGTTGTGGTAGGGGTAGATGTCAATAAAATACAATTTATGGTCAATTTAATAAATAATATAAATAATTGGATGTGGATGGATAAGAACTTTCTGAGCTTATCAGTATGCGCAGAAGGCCCTTACTGGTCCATATCTATCAGCTCATAACCACTGATAATGCCCATTCAATCGAGTGATAACTAGGCCCACACAGAATCTATGCGCACAGACAAATGCTGATTTTAGCCCATCATTGAGTCTATTTATTTACTTTTATTTTTAAATTAATTTCAGTAATATTATTGACTAAATTGAAAGTGTTCAATTGATTTATTTACACAACAGTTTGTAAAGTAATATTTTCTGTCTTTTGTATGATGTATTATATAAGACCCTTGCTTTGTTTACCAGTTAAGTGGATCTTATTGGATTTTAAAAGGTTATTTTTTATTTTGTATAAGTTTTTAGTTCCAGTACTCCCAAAATCAGTCCACATCTGCAAATTTTTTTTTTACAAAATTCTGCGCAGAAATGGCAAAAAATGTCCACAGATTCTGTTTGGCCCCAGTGATAACATTCAAATAGGCTGGCAATGCAGTATGATGACAGACATATGTACAAATAATCTTTTGCTCATAGTAATGTACCATTTGAAACAAAAGATTCTCAAGCAAACCTAAGTTGCTTTAGTATAGTTAGCATTTATGTTAAAATACTGCTGACAATATATATTTATTCCTGTGGTAATTATATAATTTTTCAAAATATTTGTTTCATAAATCTAGTTGTGAAAGTAATTTAACAGCAAAATAATGTACCACAACAGTATTGTGATTTAATAAAAACCCTTTTACTAGCTAAATCTATAAATCAAATGACCATTACAGATCATTTAGAGACTATAGAAATATGTATATAGTTGGCTTAACTGTGTTAACCCCAAAAGTACCATAAAACTACAACAGGAACAAAAAAAAATTGTCATTGCACAAAACATACAGCTTTTTTCTTTATTATATTATATCATATTATGTTATATTATATAACATAATATTATATTATATTATTGATAAATTTTTCTTCAGCTTATAATTAATTTATTTTAGATGTTTCCCAGTACTGGGTTGCAGCTTAAAGGTAATGCGCTGTGTAAAACACATTCTGGATATGTTGGTGGTCCATTCCGCTGTGGCAACCCCTGATGAATAAGCCAAAGGAAAATGAATGATTATTATATTATATTATATTATATTGTATTGTATTGTATTATATTATATTATATTATTTATATCTCTGCAGATGTGCAGTTTAAGCTTGATGAGCGAACCGCTCACAGCAGCCTGGATCTTTTTAAGAAAGAGACCGGTGTGATCTATCGAATGCTTGGTGTGGACCCGTCTCTGGTACAGGACACTCCTCTGCGTTTCCGGGACTGGGCCGTGGTCCTCGCCGACACCCCTATTGAATCTGGACGCCACTATTGGGAAATCACAGTTAAGAAGTCTCATGAATTTAGAGTTGGAGTGGCTGATGAGTCCACGTCCCGTGACGAATGCGTAGGCACCAACTCCACTTCCTGGGTGTTCGCATTCGTCCAGAGGAAGTGGTTTGCTATGATTATGGGGAAGCAGGTCCCAGTGCCGTTAGTTGGGAAACCGGATCGAGTCGGGCTCTTGCTGGACTACGAGGCGGGACGGCTCAGTCTGGTGGACACCCAGAAAAATGAAGTGGTGCATACCATAAAAACACAGTTCCGCTCGGCCGTCTGTCCTGCGTTTGCTCTCTGGGACGGGGAGTTACTCACACATTCGGGACTGGAGATCCCAGCCGGGCTTCAGTGACTCGTGTTCATTCACACATGGATGCTACATGCCTCTTAATGGATAGAAAAAAGGAAGTATAGGGGCCTTACGAAATGGGAACACAGTCGTTTTTTTACTGCCATTAATCCAGATTTGTCCACTAAGCTGGAGAAAGTATAAACTCAGTCTACTGTTTGTGATATAATGCTGATGAACTAATGTTCAACAAATGAATACTTGACATCCTTAAAACGGATTTCTTAAGTGCATCGAATACAGTGTTAAGATGTTTTTTTTCAATAAACACACTATATACCAGTCATGATCTTTATTTACAGTCTGTACATACTTGTTTGTTTTACTATATCTCACTTTTCCATCTTCATCCATAACAAAGGCACTCTTTTCATATTTTAATATGAATTTTTTCCCCTCCAAATCCTTTAAATGTGTATCCAGCAATACATATACCAATTTTAAATACATTAATTTCTCTCAAAACAATGCTTTTACATTCAGCATTCAGATGAAGCTTTGTGCCCTACATTAATATAACATTTTAATTTAAATAATAACTTAGAAAACATATTCAAAAGCTTCAGAAATTCAAAACGTCTTACAAATAGTACAAATATACAGATACCTGCTCTAAATATTTATCTGATGGTTATTAGTAGCTTGAACGGCTTTGATGGCCGTATGACATTATGGAAAGCCCTGGCGCGTGAACCTCCTCGAGGCAAAGCAGTGTTATGGCATTTCCAGAATGATTCATAAATAAACTACTCAAACCGCAGCTGAAAGTGCACACATGCTTGTCCTGATAGATGGCCTGCTAAATTTACACCAAATTGTACTTCGTAAACAAGGCCGGATGCAAGATAATCGAGAAGAGTTGTAGTTTAAATAGCTGAATATATGACCAGACGGATTTCAATACAACACTTTTACAACTCTACAGTTTCAACAGATAACGTTTTTCAGTAACAAACTTATTTCCTACAGTAGGGCTGGGCCGATAAACGTTATTATATTAAATCGTGATATAATTTATGTCGATAACAATAATAAGCTCTGTTTTTTTTTTACTCCATATTGATTGAAGAGCCAATCACACAGCAGAAATGTACAGTAATGGGAATCTAAAAGTGTTCATATTAGAGATGTACTGAATTTTTGGCCACTGAAAATTTATCAGCTGAAAATATGTAATGCTATTTAATGGACTCTCTAATTTTTGTAGCTTCAGTCATTGTTGGATTACTCTTTTAAAAGCGGAACCATTATAAATCGAAATATATATCATCGTTTAATATGGAAAATAATTATCGAAATTGAAATTTTGCCTTATAGCCCAGCCATATTTTAAAGTGAGGTGTGTGTGAAATGTGATATCAAGTGCTGCAAGTTACATATAATATATATAGAAAGCCCTGACTGCACTGCACAATTATATATATATATATATATATATATATATATATATATATATATATATATATATATATATATATATATGTATGTATATATGTATATATGTATGTATGTATGTATATATATATGTATGTATGTATATATATATATATATATATATATATATATATATGTATGTACAATCGTGCAGTAGTAATAAGTGTTTTATGTAGTTAAGGCTAAGCTGTAATGCTTAATAAAGGAAGTGCTTAAATAAATAGATTAAATAAAACATCTTAAGGGATTAACAGAACTTTCAGAAGCTATTTACAATCATTTTTAAAATTGTTATTAAATTATTTAAACTTTTCAATTCTAGCTAACATTACTTTATTCCTAAAGGTGCAGTTCTCAAATATTTGGAAAATGCATTTGACACACTTGCAGCCAATCAGCAGAAAGGGGGGTGTCTATTTATTATTCCCGAAATATAATAAAGGAGAGAGGCTTTGGGATATGTTTTTTGTTTTGGTTCTTTCAGCATCGTTTTCCGAAATTCAGTGCAACTTTAAATGTATAAACATTTTGAAAATATATATATTTTTTATTTACATCTTGCAGTTCTGCGGTTCGTTCTTGGTACCTTGCTTAAATGATCTAAGATGATTTAACAGATCCTGGATCCTTTAATCTCTGGCTAATTTTTGTCTTTAAACAAGTTCGCAAATCAGGTTAAAATGTCTGGATGAACTGATCTGAGATCACTGCATGTATTGGCTGTCGACACAGCAGCGTAATGACATCATCTGATTAATATTCAATTATCCATGTGAGCCAAATGACATCAAATTCATAGTAAACGGTTTGTTGAATATGATACGTAATAACTTTACACCTTTGTTGTGGGCTGCAGGCTTTACACTTATGTGTCAAGAGTATTTAGCAAGTTATTTTATTTTACATTTAGAGCTGATCTTCTTTATTATAGTAGCCTAGGCCTGTTTAAGTTTTTCTTAATCGTTGTAAGGAAAAACTGGCTGTTTAAATTACTTTTGTGTCAAAAAAGATTTAAAGGTGTCTGCAACTTCTGCAATGCATCAAATCAGCGTCATATTAGCTGTCAAAACACTTGCATCACTGCATAAATAAATATTCCTTTAAAGAAAACAAATATTGTGCATGTCTATTGTCATACACAATGTGTACTAATGCTGGTAAAATAGTATTTGTTTGTGTCTAAAAAGTCCATAATAATAAACATTCTTTTTAAACCCCTTGGTGAGAACCACCCCAGTCTAATGGGCCTACTTTTATTTCGGATTGCAGATTGCATGTTATATTTATATAACTTTTTAAAAACTATTTGACTATTTTCCCAAATGTATATATATACTATACTGTAAGAAAATGTCAGCATTAGGTACATACTTTTTGAGTATCACCTTTGCGTGAAAAGACCCGATATAATCTTGTTTATATGAAATAAGCTGCTGCTCCCAAGCAGGTTTGAGCTACCAGACCTATCAGACAGTTTGTGGGTGTGCAACTGAGTTCAGAAGACACATTCACACTAGCTAAACATACTGAACTCAAAAAAACCAGGGTGTGAACCAAAAGTGCTAGTGTGAAAGCAGCCTTAATCTAATACTGCGAAAGCTCGTAAAATGTTAATCATTTACAAAAAATCGATTAAAAATCCAGTCTAATGTGTCTGAATGCAAAACATCACACCCAGTGTCCACCTTTACTTAACATTATCCACTTGTAATCAAATCATAAAATAGTTAGTGAATGAGTCCTTCTAGTGTCTAAGATTACTGCGAAAACTTTGAATCAAGGGTGACCTTTTACATAAATTTTCATTACAGTAAAATAACTTTGAGGGAAAGGAAGCTTCAGCATCTAAATTGGTCCAAGTACAAACCACAAACTGTCCTTGAGGACCAGTACCAGAAATGATCTGGAAGTACCTGGCCGTTTCATAATCCCACCGTAGACATAACGGAGGTTTGTAAAACTACAGTAATGACCATTGCAAACCCTTAGCAGGAGCTAGCTGACATCTACATACAGCAGAGCTTTGGTTTGAAGCACTTTCTCACCTGCGTGCACCTGCTCAGTGTGTCTTTACACGGGGCTTTGTCCTAAATCTAACACCCACATGCATCCCTGAAGTAGCGAGAGGCCGCGGTTTGGGATTTTCTCCTTCATATTAAACTCTCCAGAGTCTCCATGCTCTTCAGTTCATCTGCATCAATGGAGGAATCGGGGCATGTGTCTGCACTGAGCACCTCAGGTAGTAGGGTGTGTGTGTAAATGCTCTGATACTCTTGGAGCACCTTGGCCACCGTATTGTGCCCAAACTGCATCGCATCATCAAGAGGTGTGTTTCCCCATCTGTAGAACAGATGGACGAGTGTTACACACACATGAAACAAAAACAAAGCAGAAAAAGAACAATGGGCATGGGTTTGCAGTACCTGTCCTTTACATAGGGGTTGACCTTGCAGGTGTCTGTTAAAAACTTGACTGCTTCTAAGTGCCCTGAAATCAGAGTTTAGAGACCTATTAATATATTTACAACCAATTCAGATGTCATAATTTGATCTTTAGGACTCGTTATCCATGCTGTTAGTAATAATTTTCAACTTAATTTCCAGACTTAAGGTCCACTTCATAGAGATGAAGTGATTAATAATGAATTAAAGGAATAGTCCACCCAAAAGATGAGGATTATATTATTAATTACTCGCGCTTGTGTTGTTCCAAACCCCTTGAGACCTTTGTTTGTTTTCAGAACACAAATGAAGATATTTTAGATGAAATCTGAGATAATCCTCCATATAAGATGATTTGGAGACATCCTCAAAACAGACTATATACTATCAGTGGTTCATTCATTCATTTTCTTTTCGACCTAGTCCCTTTATTAATCAGAGGTCTCCACAGCGGAATGAACCGCCAACTATCCAGCACATGTTTTACGCAGCAAATGCCCTTCCAGCTGCAACCCATTACTGGGAAACACCCATAGACTCTCATTTAGACACATACACTACTGACAATTTAGCTTATTTAATTCACCTGTACCGCATGTCTTTGGACTTGTGGGGGAAACCGGAGCACCAAAAGGAAAGCCACACAAACACAAGGAGAACAAGTAAATTTACACACAGAAATGCCAACTGACCCCGCCGAGGCTTGAACCAGCGACCTTCTTGCTGTGAGGTAACAGCGATACCCACTGCTTCATGCTTGTTTCATGCACAAAAGTATTCTTGTAGCTTGATAATATTCTGATTGAACCCCTGAAGACACATGTGAACCACTGTTTTGACTGTATTTGGTACCTTTCTGGTCTTTAAACGAGTTGGGGCCATTGCTATCCTTGGAGGATGAGAGAGCTCTAGGATTTCATCCAAAATATCTCAATTTGTGTTTCAAAGATGAACAAAAGTTTAGGAGATTTGGAACAAGATGAGAAGTAATTATTAAGAGAATTTTACTTTTGAGTGAACTATCCCTGTTAGTAAAGGATAATGGTGATTTCACACTGACATTCTAGTTTGAATCAGGGCATAAAATGTTTTCATACAAACTGTTACTGTAAAACTCAGACTACGTATTGTAGGTGGTCTATATTTGGAATTGTGGATTGATTTTAGTGAATCTGAAAAGCTCCAACGGCATGGGCTTCGTTTTCTTTCTTTTTTTTTCTCAGAGCAATTTGTGAGGGCATAAATTGATTGAAAATGCAGCAGAGTGTGAAATCAGACTATTTAAACAAAAAGCAAAGAGCACCTTTAACCAACAGTTCAAAGCCATGAGAAAACCATAACAAAAAACAAACACAATTTTTCAGACAAAATTAAATAAGCAATAGAGACATTACTGAATAGAGAGCATTCATTCTTCATTAGTTCACAATATGGAGACGATAAAGTGAACTACTCTGCATTTAATAATACATACTAGTCAATAAAAAAATGCAATCTGATTGTTTGCACTAATGCCAGATTTGATTTTGAGCATTGTTAGCCGATCACAAATTAAGTAAAACTTGCTTAAAAGGCAAACTTAGCTGAAACAGGTTTGTAACAGGTTTGTTTTTATTGCAGGTCAAATATAGAAATAATAAAAAAAAAATTATTAGCGTGTAATAATTGATCTTTTTTTAAATAATTCATTCATCAAACATGTAACAGCAGTAATGTTGTGATTTTTTTTTTGTGTGTGGCTTTTTTATAAATATATGTATTTATGTTATGCACATTATCCAGTTTTAATTCTATCATAATCCTTCAGCAATCAATTAAAATATTAAATTAGTGCTCAACAAAAATTCTCATTTTAATAAATGTCAAAAATACTAACTTTAAGAACAGCATTTATTAAAATGTAAATATTTTGTAATATTACAAATATTTTTACTGTTATTATTTATTGAAGGAAAATAACATTTTCACACAATACGACGATAAACATTACAGTTTTTTTCTTTTCTAGTTTCCAAGTCCCACCCCAAACACTGAACATCCCAAGGCAGCTTAGCACAATAATTAAGTTCAAATACAATCCTTAAACAGTCTGAAGTCATGCATGTCTAGACATAACCGTGATGATGGAGAAAAGAATTAAAACAAAAAATTACAAATAACAGGAATAAATAAATAATTAAAAATTGTCAGCACAAACTACATTAAAAATCCCACAAAGTGGATACAAAGAGATATACAGATTATTTAACAGCAGGGTAATTCATTCAGATTTTTAAAATATGAAAAAATAGGTTCTCTGTACGTATAAAACCTGTCCACCAAACCCCTTAGTGTGTATTTAACCTTTTCTAGTTTTAGAAAAGACATCACATCTTTAAACCAGGTGGGTATGGGGGTGTGGAGGATTTTCGGCATAATAAGATTCATCTGCGGGCTAATAAAGATGTATAAATATACCTATTGAGGAACAGGGCAATAATGTCCCCCCCAGGGCCTCAACACCAAAGCATATGTGTCAAATTAGCTAGAGAAAAGGAACATCTATCACAAGACGCATCTAATGAATCCAGGGTACATTCCTGCCAATTGTGTCTTGATTAAATGTTTTACTGATGTTTGTGGTCAGTTTAATGGATCCCAGAATGAATTAATTTGTGACTTTAAACTCTTGAATGGTTTTGTGTAAATAAATATTCAAATTTCTAAAAAAAAAATAAAAAATCTTTATTACCTTCTGCTGATGCCACATGTAGAGCAGTACGACTGTCATAGTCAGTCAATTCCATATTTACCGCAGAGAGAGCGATTCTGTGAAACAAATGAGTATCACAAGACCACTCCAATCAAAATATCTAAATGTTTTTTATTTGCCAGAAAGAGATGCTTACCTCCTGAGAGCTGAAACATCCCCACTGTACGCAGCAAACATCAGATCCACCACAGACTTGTTCTGCAATATTGTAAACATAATCAGAGCTCAAAACTCTGCAACTTTACACTGTGAGACTGAAAAAATCTGCTCTGCTGTCTCACCCTCTCATGGCCTGTCTGTCTGCGAGGGTCCAATTTCTTTGCAAAGTGTCTTAGATTGTCATAGTTGTGGAAGTTAAAGAGAGAGACCAGCTCCTAGGAGATAAACCTATTTAGTTAATGGTCTAAGAGACTAAATAAAACAGAGGTCACACTTTACAATAAGGTTCATTAGTTAATGTTAATTAATGCATTTACCAACATGAACAAACAATGAACAATACATTTACTACTGTATTTGTTCATGCTAGTTAACGTTAGTTAATGAAAATACAGTTGTTCATTGTTAGTTCGTGTTTATTAATGGTGCATTAACTAATGTTAACGAGCATGGACTCGGATGTTAATAATGCATTAGTAAATGTTCAATTATGATTAATAAATGCTGTACATGTGTTGTTCATGATTAGTAAATGCATTAACTAATAATCCTTATTGTTAAGTGCAACCAACACAGAAGCTAAGATCTTAAAGAACATACCTGGCAAAAGTGGATTCCTCGAATGCTGTTTCCCACACGGTCAAGAGCCGGAGACCAACACATCACACCCATAATATTAGGAACCACAAGCAGGACGGCACCAGAAACCCCAGATTTAGCAGGCAAGCCCACCTGGGTGGGAGACCGAGAGATTTTAATGAAAAATCTTCATATATAAATCACAGGTACAAATACAAAGACATGGAATTCACCTCTTTACCATCTATCGTGAAAAGAAATAATTGAATTCAAGCAAAAAAAATTGAATTAAAAAAATTGAAAAACATTCCTCGGGTAATCTAGAGCAAGTGACATAGTGCTCTGCATTTGGTGTGAACCCAGCAAAACTATTAGATGGATTAAAAGAGCATTGGATTTCTCCAGCTTTTAATGAGTCAGTGATTCAATGACCCATTCAGTGACCTATTCACCAGGACTGTCATTTGTCTAGCTTCTAAATAAATCAACAACATTCGTTAATGTAGTGAGTCATTAAAACACTCATTAAGACAAGGGCTTTCTGCTGTTTTAGTGCTATAGTCAAGCAGCAAACTCTTGCTCTACCTTGTGAAGCAAATATGGAAGTAACTGAAACTGCAATTCTTCGAAATTCACTACTCCTGGCTTCATTATAGTGCACATTTCTATTGACCCCAATGTTAAAATGGCCAACTTTATAGCAGAAAGAGAGGTGTTTACAGCCTGGTAATTTTTTTTTGTATATTTAGCTAATATTACTCTTCATGACAACTGTGAGGGGGTGAATTTTTTAACTCATCAGTTTCCTTTATATTAGGTTTTATTAAGTCTGCAAAATTAAGGGCGTGGCCACTTGAGTGACAGCTAGGTCTTGATGGTCACTGCCATTCCAGTTGATTATTATAACATTGTCTAAATACTTTATAGTATTAGATAAATACTAGATATATTACAAAACCAAACCCATGTGGTCAGAACACAAACAAGTTGCAGGTAATGAAGTATTAAGCATTTAAAACAAAAGCCCATCTAAGCAAAATGCTAGCATGCATCCGTAGTTCCGCTCACACTCTGCCTCTATTCCCTTGGTTTACCCCAGTCAATGCAAACAAAATGGCGACTTTTAACTTCATTTGCGCTCATCAAAAACCTATGGATGACGTCATGTGATACTACATGTGCATATTTCTTTTACAGTTTATGGTCAATTTATGGCATGCCAAAACCTTCCAAGGTATGAGAATAAAAAACACTCAATTTGTCAAAATATTGATATTAAAATGAATCATAAAATAATCCTATTATCACTGCTATTATCTTCATTAAAAAAAATGAGACTAGCATCTTCTTTGGGAAAAACACAAGTTTTCATGTAAAATATTTTGTTTTAGTACATTTAAAATGTAAATGTAAGCAAACTGAGATTAAATGAATTTTGCCCACACAAGGGGACATTTTTACCAATCAGCCTAATTTGAGTTTGACACCTCTGATCTAGATGTAGCATCTACTGTGTGTGTGTACTGTATCGCACTGAGGAATTCTGTTGTTGTGTGTGAGACTCACGTGAAAGGCAAACTGGCCGGAGAAGTCGTACATGCCGCAGGAGTGCATGAGACTGAGAGTGTTTCGGACAGCCTCTGCACTGAGCACTCGCTCGCCTGTGATTGGACAGATCCCTCCATTAGCCAGAGTAGCCGCCATGACACTGCCTGACTCACACGTCACCTCGATAGAGCACAGCTGAAAGAAAAAAAAATTATTCAGAGATGCCAATATAGCATAAATGAAATTTAGAATGAAATCATAAAATGTTCTACGCCAAAAAAACGTTTTCCCAACCTCAACAAAGCAGTTTTGACCAGGTGCAACTTACAGCTAATGAAACCAGTCTGGTGCAATTTACAGCCAATGAAACAAGGCATTCTCAAGTTTCTTTGGATTTATAGTTATGTGAGTAAAACACAGATGACATTTCTTTTTATTCTAAAAAGTTTATTCATAGAATTTTTTACAAAAAAATGTGGTTTCAGAGAAAAGAAATTCATGTCCATGTTGATTTTAGATAACACAATACCAAAGTTTTAATGTTTAAATTGTTATATTTGGTAAAATAACCCTAATTAATCACAACAAATGAAGATATTTTTTTTGTTTGGACCATTTTTTTTTCTATAAAAAAAAAAGAATTGGAATGACAATATTTTATATTTGAAATTTGGAAGAATCAGATCGATAGAAACAATTAAATATTGGCATTTTGCTCAAGCCCATACCTAATAAATCCAGAAAACACAAGAAATTTTACCTCTTAATTTTTCCATAGATATAATAATTCTATGTGCATTTACCTGAAAGTAGAAGTCAAGAGCTGCTGTCATGTCAGCTCCATTAGGAAAACACTAGAGGAGAAGACAAAATAATATGTCAGAATATATTAAATAAGTCCTGTCATTATATGCATGAAAGCAACAATATCCAAACTGACGCTTACTTTTTTCTCCTTGAGATAATAGCCAATTGCATAGTTCCTGTAACCGGTCTCTTTCTCTGACTGGAAACTTTAAAAAAGCAAGAAATCACAGATTATAGGTTATTCTTTAAGAGTTTATGATTTCAAATAAATAAGTTAGAAACTCACGTGGCATTACTAAACCCAACATATTCTCGCCCAGCCATTCTCTTCAGATAATCCACCATCTGACCCAAAGAAAGAACTTCGTTGAAATTTCAGTGTTACATAAGGCTAAACTCTAAAGATTTTATAATGGGCAAGCTAAAACCTTAAAAAACAATTGAAGTTAATAAATAAATGTTTCTTAAACTTTTACTGAAATACATTGTTAGTGATTGGATGGGTGTTGGCCCATTTGGGTACAGCTTTTACAACACTATGTTTCGGTTGATTTAAGACTTATTAAGGCCTAAAATGTGGTTTTTGAAATTTCAGACTTTTTAAGACCCTGCAGACACCCTGCTTTATAACAAGCTAGATATCAGAAAACACTTTGGATATTTTATATCATGGAGATGTCGCAGTACTCACATAGTCAAACTTCTCTGCTTTGTTGTAACCAGGCTGTAGAGGAGAGAGAAAAGTAATTGAGATGAAATTACATTATCAAATAATCCATAAAAAAAGTGTATGTGATCACACTTCAAAAAAGTGCACTTATGATGTAATGTACAATGTTTATTGTTTAAAATGCAAAATTACCCAAGTAACTAGTTTCAGTAGGACTTAAGTACATCTTATGCAATTATATTATATTGATACTATTTTTGGGGTTATAATTAATATTGTCAATTAATTTAAGTCAAATGTACTATTAGGCTAATTACACTACAAGTGTCCATTTCTAGTTCATTGCTAATTCACTTAAAAGGCTAATAAAGTTGATTAATGAGTATAATTATATCTTTGATTATTACTTGAAAGAATTATTGCTCATCAATGTTACCCATATTTACCTTTAAATTGTAAATAGCTGCTTCAAATAACTACACTGTTTTAGTAATTCATCAATCGTGATGTCTGAGGGCTAACCCATTGCTAATGCTATTAAACTGGACATCTCTACTTTCAGATGTAAAACACAACACATTCAACGTTCATATATTCTACTGCAGTCAAACAGGATAAAAACGATTTATATATAAATAAGTAAAACTAGTTTCTGTTACAGTGAATCCAGTGAGTTCGTTTCTCAGCAATACAATGCCGTATTTAGACACTTGGTGGCAGTGTGTACATATGCATTAATGAACAGATCATGAGTGTCATCCATTAGAAAGTTATAAAATCTGTTATGAGTAAACTTAATATGTGTTCTGCATTTGAAAGCATATCAAACCATATAAATAGTCCTTTCATAAGCATAAAGAAAGAAAGAATTTTGCACCTTCGCTCACCATTATGATTGGTCATACTTTGCATTGCACAGCAGCACTAGGCATGAAGTTAAGTAACAGAACATGAACTGGTGGTGCCAAACTTTTATTGGGAACAATATCAGGTTTCACATGTCCTAAGGTGGGATGTTAAGGTGATGTTAAACTTCCACAAGGTCCAGAAGGGAGTCCCTTGTGCAAAGGTCAGTGCAATGCGAGCTGAGATGTCTTCATCTTAAAAAGTACTCTTGCGTGTCTGCGCTATGTGAAGTTGTGTAACTTATTTAAGGGCAAAGGTAAAAGCTATATAAACTTGAAATAAAAGTAAAGAGACGCTTAATTATACATTGCACAGATATTTCAGTTCATTTAAACCTCTAAAACCTTTCAATGCAGTTATAAAGCTGAGAGTGATTTTGACTGCAGAAAATGTGACCTCTTTTAAAAATGAGCTAAAAGGCGTATTTCTCAGCTCGTCTCCTGATTGGCTGTTCAGACACACCTCTTGACCACTAACAGCTTTTAATATGTGATCATTCTACAAAGAACTACCCTCTCACTCCACACACACAAACACACACTTATTCAGCTATTTAAAGCCAAGGCAAAAGGAAAGGACTGAAATGTAATTTTTTCCCAATAAAAACCATCATAGTCACTTCTGACATCCAAACTGCACAGCACAGCAGTTTTTACTATAGCTTGCAAAATAGAATTACGTTTTTTGTAATAGTATGATGGTTCCCAGACATGGGTTTGCTTGAAGGGCATCCGCTGCATAAAAACATGCTGGATAAGTTGGCAGTTCATTCCGCTGTGGCAAGGCCGGATTAATAAAGGGACTAAGCCGACAAAAAAATGAATGAATGAATAGCATGATGGTTTTTTTAAGCGACAGTGAAAATTATATAAGTAAATAAAAATATAACCTAAATAAAAATAATGTCTGTTAAGAAGTTTCACCTGAAATTTCTCCAAAACAATATTCATTTACCTTTAAGAGAGAGCTGATTACAATCGCTCCTGCATTCACCATGGGATTATGGGGCTTCTCTGGGAAAACAAAAAAGTTTACACATGCATCATGTTGAATGGAAGGGATTTCGAAACAGATCCAGTAAAGATTGCAGATGCAATGTTCCTCAGAGGTGAGGAAATGCATTGATAAGCTTTATAGAGAAAGGAGCTCTGACAGTTTTACAGCTTCTTCTTAATCCCAGACTCCATGTAGCAATAGAACAAATGAGATGACTTTGATATGACCAATTCAGAGTCTCGAATATCATCCAGGACAAAACACATTCTCATTATTATGAAAGCTGAAAATGGTTGTGCTGCTTAATATATTTGTAGAAACTGTTTTTTCTTAGCCTTTTAAAGAATAGTTTAAGTCAACAACATTTACTTGAAAAATAGACATTATAGTATAATTATAAATGCATTCACCATCAATTTAATGCATCCTTGCTCATTAAAACCACTTAATTTATTTCAATCTCATTTTCTATACTACCAATATTGTGTGAAATGTTAATTCTGGGATCTTCTCAAATTACACAGATGTGCATAAATAAACTATATTTGCATAATTTGATGTGCCCACATTCTACTTGAAAGACTTCTCAGTAACCAAAATAGAAATAAGACATATTGTAATGGTTTCTCACCCTCTTCGTCTAAAGACAGTTTGTTGAATTTGAGGCCGCTGGGTTCTTTCCCCACATATCTGTGCACGTGTTCACTGCCAGTCTCGTGCACAGCTAGAGCATATTCCAGAGGCTTCACACACGACTGCAAGCAGAATGGCACATTCGTGTCTCCTACCGCATGCCTGTGTATATAGGAAGACACTAAATAAAGCTCAAAGTGATAGAACCAAGGAAAGAGGGGAAAATATATAGTCATTTTTCCAAAACTAAAAGCTTGTTGGGTAATTAAAATGGAAAATTAGATTAAGGTTAAAAACACCATTTAAAACTTTAACACCACATATTTAAAAATGTAGATTATATATTGTATATCTTTATAGCAAAACCTTGGTCTTTCTGTGGATATAGTGACGTGTATATGTTTCATATAGAGAGCTATTACAATAAAGATACTTGAAGGTTGTTCTGTTCTGTTTTTTCCAGACTCTGTATTCTAAAATCACTGAAGACACTTCGTTCTTTCCAGTGTTGTGGAGTTGCTAGCTTCAAGTAGCACAACTTCTACTAGCACAACTTCATTTTTCAGTTGCTAACTATGTTTTCCAGCAACTGTGGTACAGATTGACAATGGTTACATTCATTTTTTGTGAACCTACAACGGTGTGAAGCAGCACATCGTCATCTTACAAGATCATATGCTTAAATGGTGTATAACAGCCATTGTTAATTGTTGTTTATTCAGTTATTACTGCTAGTTTATAAATAATAATGATATTTTTGAAGTATACAATAATTGAAATAAAATCCATTATATATTCTAACATGAAGCAAGAATGTCGTGTGAGGCCTTCAATATAATTTCTTACTAAAATGGAGCCGCCTGCCACACAATTTGTAATCAAACAATAAAATAACAGTGTGTAATACAACATTAAGCTTTGATATCACAATTGTTTAGCATGTTTTAACAAAGTACAAAAATATTTTAATTGTGAGATTCCTCGTTCACATTAATTCACTTATTTGATATATATGTTTTAAGTTGATATTTAAGTTTTTAGTTGATATATATGCATAGTTTCAATGCAGCTATTTGTCATAGCTAGTCATTTGTAGCATAGCTACAGTGTAGCTACATTTTTATGTAATTTCTCAGTAGCTTATTTAACTGATGAGCTTTCAGAGTAGCTTCTCCAACACTGGTTCATCCTCGAACTGTACTGCTTGTTTGGTGATTAGAATATCTGTTTTGAACTGCTGTCTTGAATTAAATGTGACATGGTGTGTGACATCTGTTGCTCCAGTTGCTATACGTGATGCAGCGCTGCACTTGTCTGGTGTTGACCACCTTATGTTAAATGGTAAGTATAATAAGACAATAATAAATGTTACTACCGATGACATGCACTCTTGAAGAAATAATAGAAAATAAAAAGAAAAGAAAAAAGGAAAGGTAAATTGTAGAAAGTTGTAAAAACATAATTATAAATAAATAAAGGTAAAAATGTTCAGATATTTTTGGTCAGTATGATTTTGAAAGGCTTCGGTTTTGCTGACCAAGTCTGTATTTCTTTTTATCAAAAAGGTAGTTAAAAATTGTAGTAATGTGTTGGAGCCAGGCTTGTGTGCCGACATATAGCACCATTGGGCTCATGGCGACCCAAGTTTGATTCCTGGCTCAAGGTCCTATGCCGATCCTTCACCTTTCTCTGCTACCAATACTTTCCTGTCTGTTCTAGACTATCCTATCCCAATAAAAGGTGAAAAACCCCTAAAAAACAATTATTTAAAAAAAGTAGCAATGTTGCGAAATACTAGTACAATTTCAACATATTAAAATGCAATTTATTGCTGCTATGGAAAGCTGAATTTTCAATAGTATCACATGACTTTTAAGGCTCTTTTTGAAAGTTAATAATATTCAGTTGATTTAACTAACAATAAAATAAAATATCCATCCATTCTGATATCCATACAATACAACACAGCAATTTTATTATGGCTTGCAAAATAAAATGTAAACTAATGCAAAAAAAAAAAAAGTAATTGTATGATGATTATTTTAATCACCAGTGGAAAAATAAATAAAATAATATAAAATAAAAAAATAAAATCCATTCTGATATCCAACACAGAACACAGAAATTTTACTATGGCTTGTAAAATAAAATAAAAGTTTATTTTTGTTATAGTATAATGATTATTTCACTAGTGAAAAAATAAAATAAATAGAAATACCCTATTCAATTCAATTAAATAATTAAATTCAATTAAATTCTCTTGCCTGGCTCTTTACTCCTAACTTCTTAAAGACAGTGCTCATAAAATGTTCAATTTAATCAAATGGGGCATTATTTGAACACACGGTGCAAAGAGTTAATTCTGGACTCTTCTCTCATTACATAAATATGAGTAAATAAACTGTATTTCACCTCTGACCATCCACTGTGCACAGAGAAACTCCCCAGAGATCTGGACTGAACTTCGCCAGCTGAGGGATGTAGTTTGCTACCTGTGCAAACACACACATTCACAAACAGAGAACATATGTTGATAAATGTGTTTGTTAAGGCCAAGGTCATTCCGAAACAGCGATAAAGAAAATCTATGGCTTACTTTCCCTCCTTGCTGAGTCTGTGCGTCACAATACAGATGGTTTATGAGCGAGGTAAACGCTTCAAAGTCTGGAATGATGAACTTTCTCTGGAAAGCTTGAGTCAGGAGGACTATATTACTGCCAACACATCTAGAAACAGAAACACACTTATGCTCATGTGACATAACAGCCACCTGTGATCTGTAACGTGCTAAGAGTCGAACATAGCAGGACATGATATATGATCCGTGTTTATTAAAGCCAACTGAATGGTTTCAAAAGAAGCTGTGCCTTAGTGGAATAACAAACGCATTATCTCTAATCACTGGTTAGCTTTACAGCTGAACGCAGGTAGATGCACATAAACTACAGGTCAACCGTTTGGGATCAGTACGATTTTTACAAATCTTTGTAAAAGAAGCCTCTTGTGCTGACCAATACACTGATGCTTTTTTTTGATGGTTCAACTGAAATATTCTTACAATATAAAATAACTGTTTTCCTATTGAATGTAGTTTCAATTGATTAATTTAAAGGGCACCTATGATGAAAATCATCTTTTGTAAGTTGTTTGGACAGAACTGTGTGTAGGTTTGGTGTGTCCACAGTCATAATGGGGTGACAGAAACACCTCTGACAGAAGCCTCTCTTTTTTATTTATTAAAAATAGGATCGGTGACGCAGTGGCACAGTAGGTAGTGCTGTCGCCTCACAGCAAAAAGGTTGCTGGGTCGCTGGTTCAATCCTTGGCTCAGTTGGCGTTTCTGTGTGGAGTTTTCATGTTTTCACCCTGCGTTCACGTGGGTTTCTTCCGGGTGCTCTGGTTTCCCCCACAGTCCAAAGACATGCGGTACAGGTGAATTGGTTAGGCTAAATTGTCCGTAGTGTATGAGTGTGTGTGTGAATGTGTGTGTGGATGTTTCCCAGAGATGGGTTGCTGCTGGAAGGGCATCCGCTGCGTAAAAATGTGCTGGATTAGTTGGCGGTTCATTTCGCTGTGGCGACCCCGGATTAATAAAGGGACTAAGCTGACAAGAAAATGAATGAATGAATGAAAAATAGTATAAAAATAATTCCCATTTTGAGGCCCGCTGCAACGTGACGTAGGAATGCGGTTTTTCCCAGCCCCCAATTTAATTGACAGCCGCATATTAACTTGTCTCCATAGAAATCATATCAAGAAAAAAAGGCGAGACTTGCGCAAAGCAACTGGAATTAAAAGATCTGTTCAGCTCTGTGTGATCATCTGCACCTCAAAAATAAGTTTCACAAGTTTACACATTTTTAAAACAGTGCATGTTTGTAATAAAGGCAGTACTTGTAGCTTTTTTTGCAGTGTTCAGAAACCTATGGGTGACGTCACGGATACTACCTCCATATCTTTTACAGTCTGTGTGTGACTCACCGTTACAGAAAGGGTTGAAATAACTCCATAACAAATACATCAAATAACCATGGGGAAAGTTCTTACTAATCAAGGGAGATCTGCTTCGTTGTTGTTTGCCACTGTGCTGTTTATCTGAGGTGAGATGCAACAGGAGAGGCTACACCCATCAGAGCCATAAAGAGATCTCTTCGGCTCTGACACGCATGTGTGAACGGTGGGCGGGGAGATTTATTATTTATTATTTACCTTTAATTATCCTGGATGTATTCAATTGTTCAGAAGGAAAAGGTAAAACAAGATTATGTCTAAATTTTAAAAAAGAGTTTTAAAATGCTGCTATTTTGAACTTTCATCAAAGAATCCTTAGAAATTATATGAATTGCAATTTTCACAAAACTAGATTCAGTTGTGAAATATTCTTACAAGATAAAATAATTAGTTTCCTATTGAATGTACTTTATATTTTAATTTATTCCTTTGATTAAAAGCTGAATTCTTCATTACTCCAGTCTTCAGTGTCGCATAGTCATTCAGAAATCATTCTAATATGATGCACTGCTGACCAAGAAACACTTTATTGTCATTAGTGTTGATAACTTTTGGACTGCTTCCTATTTTTGTCAAAAATGTATCAATTAAAATGCATTATTTACCTTTAATCACCATGAATGCATTCCATTGTTAAAGAGTCCTTTGACGAGACAATGTATACATTTTTTAAAAGATTTTAAAAATGCTACTATTTTAAACTTTATTTCATCAAGAACCTTAGAAATTACATGAGTTGCAATTTTCAAAAGCTAGGTTAAATTGTGAAATATTATTACAACATAAAAGAACTGTTTTCCTATTGAATGTAGTTTAAATGTACATTTATTCCATTGATTTAAAGCTTTTTTTTTAGCATCATCAATACTTCAGTCTTCAGTGTCAGAAATCTTACTAACGTGATGTTCTGCTGACCAATAAACACTTATTATTATCATTACTGTTCTAAACTGTTGTGCTGCTTCCTATTTTCACTGAAAATGTGTCAATAAAAATCTCTTATTTACTTTTAATCATCATGGATGCATTCAATTGTCCAAGAGTAAAAGTAAAGACAAGAAACAAGATATAATATATATTTTTAAATGCTGTTAATTTAAATTTTCATTTAATCAAATAATCGTTAAAAAATAAATAGCAGTTTTCATAAAACTAGTATAACAGGAAAAAAAAAATTAAATAAACATTAATAATTATAGGACTCAATAGCATCAATTGAGTACCAATATTAACTGTTCATAACAGAACAGCAAATCATCATAATATACAGTAATGATTTCTAAAGAATCACATGACAATAAATATTGGAGTAACGACCATAAAATTATGATTCTTTAATCAAAGAAATAAATACAATGTTAAACTACATACAATAAAAAAACTGTTTTAAAGTCTCGATTTTCAAAATAATTTTCTACCAAAATACATTATGTATACATTATAATATTTAACAATTAAAACGTTTTTGCTGTTATTTCTGAACAAATAAATGCAGCCTTGGTGAGCAGAACAGGTTTCTCTAAGAAACTATTTAAAAAATGTACTTATCCCAAACTTTTGACCGGTAGCGTACAAATATAATACCTGTCATTATTTACGTTGGCTCTGAAGTGGAAAGTTGGGTCAAGTATTTGTATGTGATGATATGTGCATGGTGAACTGACTGGTTGTATTTAGAGTCTTCCAAGAACATTGCGCCATCATTCACCCGTAATGGCATGTGAGTGTATGTACATATCATAACAGCTGTGACTCATAAACTGTCAGCGAAGCATTGACATATCACGGAGAACACACATAAACACAATGCCTCAGTTTCCACTCACTTTCTGAACAGTTCTTGGTCCATCATTGCTGTTCCAACCGAGTCTTGCACTGCGTGGTGGATCTGCCGCATACAGTCTCTTAGACGGGGGTCAGACGTCTGCAAACCTGTGCTTTTGAGTGCCTTTGAGAATAAGAACATGTACTTTTAACATCATGGATTTAATTTTTAAATTACACAATTATTGCACAGATAATACAATAATACAGGGTGATTCAAAAAGAATACCACAACTTTGAAAAATCTGTATTTAATCAAAGAAACATGATGGAACCTTGGGTAATTAATCAATGTGAAGAGTACTCAACAACCTTCAGAGCTTCCTAAAATTGACCGAAGAATGAGCTTAGCTCTCCTTTCTTCTTTGCAGAGTTCTCGATTTTCAAAGTTGTGGTATTCTGTTTGAATCACCCTGTATTATTTAATATAATAAGATAATATAAGGAATAAACTACTTGTTTAGGATGTTATAACATTAAAAAAGGGAGACAGTGGAAAGGTTTGGAGGAAAAGCATGTTAGAATCCATTGAATAAATGAATAAATAATTAAATGAAAAATTTGATTGAATAGAACCAAATATTATGTTATGGTAAATAAAACTAATAAAACAATAAGATCAAATATGATTAAGATGATCATATTTTGGAGTCTAAAAAGATTGAAAACAACTAATATAAGTAATAAAATGAACTTTAACGTCAAAATAGAGCATTCAATCTTGATATAATTTTAATAGTAATATTATTCATGATGACAGCACAAGCAATTCTAATACAACAATTTAATCCAAAATGTTTTCACACAAATTTTAAGCAACATAATATGTTCACCGTTAATGATAATAATAATGTAATAATAACTTTGATTAACCCCTTTCCTGAAAGATCATCTGAATCCAAAGACAGAAGTAATAAATGATGAAAATTAAGCTTTTCCATCACAGAAATAAATTGCATTTTAAAACAGATATTTAAATAAAAAACATATTATTATTGCAAATATATCTAGAAACTTAAAACCTCAAATATATTTAAAAATCTTACAAAGGACAAACCTTTAAATAGTATTATACTGCTCAATAAAATGCATTAAAACAGTACAAATTCTTTTTTTTATATAATTATCTGATCAAATTTTGTAGCTGCATAATATAGCCATAGTTATTTTGCAGTGTAAATTTCAAATAATGTAAATTTAAGTGCATACTGTATTCAAATACAAATCAAGCATTAATAGAGCATGCATTAAGACAGTAAATAATACTATGTTTACTTCACCATTATTGGCAGTGTGGTCAACAAGAAAATACTATTTTCATAAATGCAATATATATTTACAATAACTGGCACCCCTTTCGTCAAATACTTACAATAAAAAGTGCAAACATTGTTTTATTTGAGTTTTGCAATAGTCAAATAAAAGAGTTCAACAAAGGTCAATTTGGTAGAGTCTTACTATCTGCAGTTAGTGATTTAGCATGTGAGTTTTCATACTGCAGCTGGATGAGATGACCATCAAATATAGACAACATAACCACATGCACATAAATACACATGCATTGCACACAGTGTAAGTGAGGTAACACTTTTAATGGCTGTCTATTTCTGGGTGGCATGTGTGCTAGAGTACACTGGAGCACATATGCACACAGACAGCGGAAATGAGCGGTGCTCTGGAAATTCAAAGATTAATCAGTTATTTTAGTCAAAACAGTCCATAATTCTGTGTACTACTACTTCATGTAAAGTAAACTTAAGATGTAAATACGGATCCAAGAATGTTTGGGAATAGGTATATTTATTAGAGGCTTTAATGGAGCCCAGTCACTGGTCTGAATCTGATGTCTATTTTTAGTGACATTATATAACACTTAAGATTTATGACAATAACTTATGTAAGTATAAAAATGCCTATTTTAATCTTACTACACTATCCAAAAAAGTTGTCGCAGGGGTGGTGTACTAATACAAACCATTTAAATACAGTCCCAGTCAAAAGTTAAGAAAAGAAGAGTCTTTTACTTACCAAGGATGCATTTATATGATCAATAAAACAATAAAACTGTGAAATTGTATTTTAATCTTTACTTTTTTTTTACTTTTCTATGCTTCTTTATTTTTATTTTGTTTTATAATGTAATGTATTATAGGTGTTATATAAATTATTATGGTGATCCAATAATAATTAAATATGGTGTAATTATTACTGTCTTCAGTCACACGATCCTTCAGAAACTTTAGATCCTTTTTGATTAATATTTTTTGTGGAAGTAACACCTTTTGTAACGTTATAAATGCCTAAATGTCACTTTAAGTTGAATAATAATATAATAAATAATAGTTGAGTTGCAAAAATAAAATATTATATACAGTCATCATGGTAAAGACAAAGGAAATTGGTAATTAGACGTTTTAAATGACTAAATTAATAGTTTAAATTTTGATTATTAATAATAATAACTTATCACATCTATTGTTTAAAATGTGTTTTAAAATTTTTTCTCTGTTAAATAGTTTGAGAAATAACTGAACATAATCTTTCACAATTTCACATAATTTTATAGTGTTTTTGATCAATTATATGCAGCCTTGCTGAACAACTTTCAACAACATCAAAAGTGTATGTTTGCAAAATGTTGACAGCTTTAGTACCAAAAACCATACAGGTACATCTTTAGCAGAACATCTATTATTCCCTTTGATATACAGAATATAGTCATGACAGCTCACACACAAGCACGTTATCACAATAATACTCACTGTCAGGAAACGCGCCACTGAGATTTTCTCCTCTCCCTGGGTAATGGTGTAGAACAACAAGTCCTCCAACCCAGAAACCACCTTCTCCCTGCTCAAAACACAAGACAAAAACAGTTTTAAAACAAAGCATACGACGTTTAAAGAAGACAGTCCTGGAAAAATAATTGTTAAAAAGTATATTTATTATCTATTTGTCAGGGGATTTATTACCTGTACGTCGCGGCGTCAGTCTCATTGACAGCGTGCTGCTGGCGAGGATGTTGCCCTGGTGATGCGCTCGTGTGTAACGGTCGAACAGGTGAGTGTTTTCTCCCCAAACTTCCCGCAACTCTTTCCCATTTTCCAGCATTCCTGATGAGCAAAACGCCAGCTCTTGTCGCCCGTAGGGTTTTAACACAATGCATAACCAATCCGGAAAGATTTGCTTCTGAACTAGAGCTCTATAATCTTCTGAATAGCGCGTGTCTGTTGTGCTAACGAGTATTATCGTTTCTAGTGGATTGACTCCAAGCGCACGATCGTCCCACGAGGAATGATACTGACATATGTTGACAAATTTAGCCGGTAACCGAGGGAACATACGCAGGTGAGGACACGCCTCCTGCCGGGTGTTAAGGGCGGACGGCTGAGGGAAACGGGGAGAGATCATTGGTGTGTCTCATGAATAAACGTGTATGACCCAATAGTAGAAACTGATTTGCAGTTTAGGGCAAAATCATTAAGCCTGGGCATTTTGCCTTTTAGAATTTTTTTTTTTGGCATAAAATCAAATATTAACCCATTTAACCCACAACATTCATAATTGAAGCCTATAGGGTCAAATAATAGATAGGCTACATTTCTTATAAATGTGAAAAAATGGGCTATGCAAGGAGAACATTTTACATGCCTGCTAAGTGGAGAAAGGAATTTTGGATGTATCCTGGTTGTGTACATTTATTTACAATTTTTATCGTAATTCACAGAACACACCCACTAAACATCATTTAGTGAGAAAAAGTTGCTAAATATCATGTAATGTTTTTCTAAATATCATATCAGGCATATTAGGAACAGGAATCTTTTCAATGCATTTAAAAGACTTTATAAGGATATAAGTATTTATTTTACCTGAATGCATCTGTTTTACTGAATGATGAATCATGATTACACCAGTTTGTTGACAATTTATTTACACAAAAGCTGACATATGGCTTGCATATATTATATATGCATATTATTCTATGCATATTTAATTTGGTGCAGACACAACAATTTGACATTTTTGTCTTTTACACTTTTTACAATTTAGTACTCTAATGATATACAACTGCCTGGATGAGTGTAGAAAACACAGATGGGAATACACAGGAATATATTACATGAAACTAGATGGAAATCGCTTTTTTAATGAACTAGAATGGTTAGTCAGAATGTAAAGTAAGAATGAAATAATGAAAATTAAAAAGAAAAAAAGCAGAGCTTTTGCATTGAGGTAGCTGTAAGTTCAAAGGGGAATCCCTGAAAAGCAATGCAGTGCTGAGTGTTAGAGGACCTGTGGTGAGGATTTTTTACGTGGAAGAGAATGAGGAAGCAAAAGAGACTTGATTTAAGGTCATGTTAAATATTATTAAGTAATTTTTTTGGTCGAACAACACTTTGCATTAAATGTACAAAATGTTTTTTCTTGGGCATAATTTTACTTTTACACCATGTTATGACTGTTTGAACAAAACAGATCTGGCAGAATATTTTTATGTGGAAAAAATATTTTAAAGACAGTAGGCTCTTGTGCGCCTGACGGGTTGGTTATGTAAAAGTGGACCTTAGTCAGCTCACCTCATCAGAGGGGCTTAGAAAACATTCCCAGTCATTTTTATCTCACGATGGCCATGATCATACTTCTGATATCCTACACTGTCTAGAATGTCATTTTGGAGACTTGGGTCAGCATGACTCAAGGCTCACAGTCAGCCTTCCTTGGCATTGGGTCAAACATACCATATCCAATGACCCGTCGGCACTGGCGAGATCAGACTTAGTATCCAGTTAACTTAACCTTACTCATTTGAGGCTTTGCAAGAACTCACAACTTTAGGGGGTCACTTAACCTTTTCAATAGGACATAAGTCCAGGTGGAAAATTTCTGCCCCTCAGTAAAAAAAAAAAAAACTACAGATAAATTCTTGTCTGACAATTGATATTATATGATAATCATTTGTTTTATAGCACTTTATTAATCATACTGAGGGTTTCTATCAGTTGCATTTAGAAGAACTGGTGAGAATGAATTAGTTGAATATGAATTATCTTATTGGTCAAATCTGTTCGAAAAAAGGTTGAAATAAGGCCTGTCCTGATGCACACTTCTTGGCCTTGGCCCCTTTAAAGTGGAAAAAAAAAACATGTTTGTAGACATGGGGTCAGGGCAGCAAGGGTTTGTGATTCAGTTTGATTTATTTTGACAGTCCTTCACACATTGTAAATTGATTTGTTCGTGAATGAGCGAAACACTGTACATATAAAAGGTTTGTTAGACTTGGGGTGCTTGTTTTATTTTATTTTCACTTTAATTTATTTTCAGCCCCAATCTTTGCTTAGTCCACAAACATTTTAATATCTCATCTCATAGCCTATCCAATTTATTTTGCAATATAAAGGCCGATCAATTTTCTTGGTGGCAAATTAACGAGAATATAGTAAAACTATACTAAGAATATAGTAAAACTATACTCCATGATTATTTTTTATGAATATAAAGTATATATATATTTTTTTTTGTAAAACACGTGAAAGCAGATCTCTCACATTCATCTCTGTCAAATATTTCTCTGAATTGGTTCGCTCGTTTCGGGTTCCCTCTGGTGGACATATGTGACCTCACAGTCAAACCAATCTCTGATCCACAGGTGTGACCGTCGATAAAACCGTTCAGCGCTTAAGATTTGTAAATTTGCATTTTTTTTATTTATTTTAATTAAATTTAATTGCTCATAACATCTGTATATTCTGTCTAGAATGATGAAAATGATGTTGAAGCAGGCAGTACTGTACCAACCTACCAACAACAACATTTGGGTCTCATATCCACCCAGTCCTTTTCGGCCTGTAGAGGGCAGACCGCACCAACTCACCTTTACAAACGGATACTGAGAATCAGGCGAGTCCAGCAGCACCACCATGGTGAGTAACCTCACCTTCCCACAGCCAAATGCCAGTTCAGACATGATCCTTTCAGTTACACTGGGGCTTTATTTACAGTCTCAGTTAGATCAGTTTGTGGAAGAGTATAAAAATAAGTGCTCTTTTTTGAGACAGAATTGCCTGTGAACTCTTTGATTGAATACATTCCACCTTCTGTGTAGGCTATTGTACTGTTTACTTTGGGACCCGTCATACTCTTGCTATCACACACACACACACACACACACACACAAAAAATGAACTTTTTACCTATCATATTATTTCTCCTCAATTTTTCCTCTACGATCTCCACTGCATCTGGTAGATATTGAATTGAGGGCTCCTTTTAACCAGAAGCTTGAGTAAAATAACACCCATTTATCGTTTGATCAGACACCCCTTCCCCTCGTATCATATTCTCTCGTGTTGGCACACACACATCCTTACACACATGCACGTACACCATAACCCATGCCCTACTGATGACCATGCGTCTCTTGGTGGAGAATGTTTTTCATTCCTTCACTGTGTCCATGAATGCTGGCTTTGTCTACCTGCTCCATCTTAAGCCCCCCTCTCCTTCCCCTCCATCTTCCTCCTTTCTGCCTCTCCCAACTTTCTCTGATCTCTGTACTAAACTGGTTAGAGCTCCATGTGTGTATGGTGACACTCAAATGCATTTTGCGTTGAGGAAAATGAGGAAATTATGATTATGTATCAATCTCTCATGATTCATTGACATATAAATTGATTAAAACAGTAATTTAGGTTGTACCTTTTGTACTTTTTAGGAACCAATATGTGACCTTGGACCACAAATCCAGTCATAATTGGCAAAATTAGCCAATTAAGATTTATAAATGACCTGAAAGCTAAATATATAAGTGTTTATGTTTACTTTGTTAGGACAGAACAACCTCTGAGAGACTTTCTGAGACACAATTATGTGAAAATCTGGAATCTGATGGTTGAAAAAAGAAAAACTGTAAATCTCACCATTAAATTTGTATTAATTAAGGTCCTAGCACTAGTACATTTGCAAAATATCTTCATGGAACAGGAGATACTTCTTTACCTAATATTCTAATGATGCTTGGGATAAAATAAATATGTAAAATTTTGACCAATGCAGTGTATTGTTGGTTATTGCCCAAAAGATATCTGTGTGACACAACACTTGTTTTACAGGGTTACATATGGACCTTTTTTTGGCACAAAAGTTTACCCCATTGACAACTTTTGCTTCTTTAATTTGAAGAGTGATGGTTATCAATTGATCACATATGTTGTAACTGTACAAACACACAGTGTGTACAATGTACATTACCATTTTAACACTATTTTTAATGCTTTTAGTTTTTTAGACTCATCAAGAGTGCATTTATTTCCTAAAAATGTAATGATAACAGTACTATTTAGAAATAATTATGCAATTTGAGATGCGTTTTCTAATTTAATATATTTTATATTTAAACTATTTCAAGTGATTATATTTCAGCCTCCATTACTCTATCACATTATTCACTAAAATCACTTTTACACTGTAAACAAATGACATAATCAGTAAATTATGACAACATATGTGTTTGTTTTTAGCTTTTTATTAAAAATCTTCTTTTGTGTTTAACAATAGAAGCTCATTAAAGACTAGAACCACTTGAGGGTGAGTAAATAGAGGGTCAACCATCCCTTTAATTGTGCTGATGTAATGAATAATACGTTTCCACCTGGATTAGACACGGGCCTATAAGATACTGAAGCAATGATAACCTTGGATAAAAAATATTGCAGTTTCACAGTATTAAGATTACTGCTCAAAAATATGCTTTTAAAGATGTCTGGGCAAAAAAACAACTCCTTTTTCCCAACTGAACACAAAACATTTTAGTTTAAGAAACATTTAAAATATTTTGGAATAGTAAACATGTCATGCTAAATAATTGAAGTAAATCATTGACTTCTGCTATTTTTCTTCATTTTTAAAAACAGATTTCTTTACAACTTGAAAGCATAACCCCTTATTTTCTTTGGATATAAAGTCAGTTAGTGCATAAGTGATTTGTTTTTCAAATATTTCCTGAATCAGAGGCTGACCAGTAGCTTTTGATGTAGAGGGTCCTTTTCTGCTGGAGATACCGTTGCCCTAAAAAGCTAAATAAAATACCCATAAAAACACGTTTTAAAAAACTTACATATACCGTAGGAATGGTGTAACAAAAGAAAAAGTTGCAGTTTTAAAACCTTGCTTTTCTAAACCGAAGTAAACCTTGAAACCGGTTATCATCCCTGCATGGTTTGAGAACACTGTGAGGTTAAACTGCAGTGTCCACAACCAGGGTCAGTTTCTCAGGCCAGTTCACAGAACTTAACCCTCAACCTCCAATGTGTACCAAGGAGCTGCTAAGAATGCAGAGT